AAATAGTTCTATAATTATATCTTTGGCAAATCTAAGATGACCCTCTCATTATAAAATTGAATTTATTATAAAAGTTAAGGAAAATGTGTTAAAATTCATCTTACAGACAAATGATTAGAGGGTTAGACTTCTCTAATTCACTTATCTACCCCTTCCTTATCACACCTCTGGATATACTCATTTCATTTCGTAATATGTATCTTATCCAGTGACATATTACTAGTAGCATATAATTTAAGATATAATAATAATCAAAAGAAAAGTGTATTTTAAAACAGTTAAACTATTGTAATAGCCCCACACTGTTTTTATTAGAAGTTATTTCAAAGGAAGAGCGTGAAATAATGACACATCCCCATTAAACCCAGCAGGTTCGCTTTAATCTCTATGAATCCCATATTTCAGGGACACCCCACAAAAAAAATCCTGAAGAAGGAATTTAAGTAGATTATAGTACTTAAACTGTCACCAAAATGAAGCCAAGCAAATCCCCTTATAGTTTAACATCCCATGTGAATCCAGATATTGTGGTTGCTAACTCAAATTTTATAGTGTAATGTGTTCTGTAAATCTAGCCATTGTAGCTTGTTCAAGCAACCATTGTTAAAAGAACCCACTGGTTAGGGCAGCATCCCCCAATCATTTGGGCATCAGGGACTAGTTCCATGGAGAGAGTTTTTTCCGTGGACTGAAGGAGGCGTGGTTTCATGTACTGCTTGCATCCCACTGATGGGGCTTAGCTTGTTTGCGCAGCCCAGTTTCTGGCATGCCGCGGACCAGTGCTGGTCCATGGATCAGGAGTTGGGGACCCTTGATTTAGAGCAATGTGTGAATTCAGCCACCACAAAAAAAACCTGGTTCTTTTGACTTTCTCTTTTCTAGAGAACCTTTCTTGAATTATAAACTTCAACCAGCTTAGGACTGCCATATTTGTTTGCTTGCTTACTTATTTACTCATTTATTTTTAAGAGCTATAAGGATGTCCTAACTCAAAACAATGTGACTCTGGGCTGCATTCCTCTAAAAACGTTCTAGCTGATTTAAACTGGTTTTTTTTCTTTTAATAACATAGAGTTTATCCTTGAGAATATATTTTGGTCAGGCATAATGGGAGTCGCAGTTGAACAGGTCAAGAAGATGCCGAGCTACACAAGGTTGCAGTAATGGGATAGGGAGACTGTGCTGACTTCCATGTTCTGAGTAGGGGTGAAGCCATCAGGGACTGGAGTGGAGTCTGAAGTAGATCTGGCCACCCATTCTCTTTCTTACCTTCTTTGTTTCTCTGATCGCTTCTCTCTTTCAAGGCTGAAGGAAAGCAGTTGAGGTTTTCCAGCAGATCAGGGTGAGCTGCAGGTGAGGTGAAGTATTGCTCCTCTGCAGTATTTCATACTGAGAAAAAGAACCCACAACGGAAGGTGACAGACTGGGAATCCAATTATATAAAATATCCATGTGGTGATTACTGAAGAGCAGTTATTTTTTGCTTTGCTGTCGAAAATGAGCCAGCAACAGTTGAATGTTGAATGAAGGAGTTTAATCAAGTTTAAATTTAAAGGTTTAATGAAGGAGACGGGAGTTTAGGATTGTTTCCCTCAGCCTCCTTATTCATTCCCATGGGCTTGTTTATTCTGCCTTAGTCATGAGGCGACTCAGAAGCCCATCAAGAACAGCTGTTGGAATGCCTCCTATGTGGTGAGGGCTCCTCCGGGAGAGAGGCCACATCTTTAGGACATACCAAAGTGTTTACTCACTCTACTGCCTTGAGCAACTCTGCTCCTATTACACCAACTCTGTATTCTTTGCATTTTCAACCCGTGAAGTGACAAGGGACTGGTCAGGTTGTCTAGAGTGTTGCCTAGTGTATGCTGAGTTTAACAGAATAAAAATATAAGCAAGAAAACTTACTTTGGCTGAGGGAAATAAATTGGGCATCTCACCTTCTGTTATTTGCGTTAACATTTCAGTCAATTCCTCCTCCCCGGACTGAATTGTCAGCTCTTTCTCACATAGCTGTTATTGTGTCACATAACTCGATGCAGAAGGCTGTTGGATAGTGTTGTGATGCTCTCAATGTTCTTCCTAGTAAAGGAGGCACCGTGTTTGGCTCTTATTGTTCACATATCCCTGCAGCTTCTTCAGGAGTTGTCCAGTGAACAGATTGGCCCTCGTGAGAGAATACCCCCAACCTTGCTTTAGAAAGACAAGAGTGCCCCCTGCAATTCTCTGCCTCTGAGCTCAGCCAGAAACTCACACAATAACTAACAAGTGAGAACAACAAAGATGCTATTGTGCGAGATCCCTCCCTCCTTTGTATTCAGTTCCAAGCATACAAGTTGTTATCTTACAGCTTGTCAGGCCTCCCTATTATGGGACATCAGCTGTGCTGAATTCCCAAATATGGAATGGTTTCTGAATTCCTGCATGGCAAACCAGGTATTACATGTTTCAGACTCTGCCTTATTCAGTCCAGGAGGAAGTTTCAATCATGCATCCTTCTCCATTCTGAAGCTTTCAGAATTCAATGTGCTCAGATTGGTATGGAATGATGGGAGATGTAATCCAATAGAATAAAATAGAATTCTTTATGTGCCAGATGTAATGATCTTTCTCCAGGGAAAACTGAATTAGTGGATGGTGCTGTCACCAAGAAAGAAGGCCAGTCTGGATATAGTCCCCTACACTCCAAATAGATTAGTGCTGTCCAAGTGGATACAGCTGATCATCTCCTTGGCACTGTCTTAGGTGTTAGATTTTTTTTTAAAAAAAATAACAACACTGCTATAACTTTTTGCATTGCAAGACAGACTGAGGGCTGAACGCAATAGCCAGCATCCTTATGTGAATTACTTTCAAGGAAATGGATGGGTGCAGCATGATTACCTCCTAAGGATTTATTTTCATTTTTAGGATTCAAATCCTCATTTTGTTTTGACCAGTTGAAAATTATTTTAGAAAACTGTACGTTTGCTTATATTGTGTTTCCTTACTGACCTTGTTAATAACCCCCGTTTTATTCAAAGAATCATAAAATGTAGAGGTTGAAAAATGCCGATTATCTGGCTAAACCAGAAATGCATTATTATAGCATCCCAGACCTTTGAACATCCAGTCTCTAATTAAACAGAGTCCATCACCTCCATTGCTAAACAGCTTTTGTACTGTTAAATATTATTATCTCCCCTCCTGATGTTCAAGAGAAATCTGTGTATTGGCTCCATTGCCTGGACAAGTCACTGCAGTTTTCTTGGCAAGTTTTCAGAAATGGCTTGTCATTGCCTCCTTCCTAGGGTTGAGAGAAAGTGTCTGGCTCAGAATCACCCAGCTGATTCTGTGCCTAAAGCAGGACTGGAACTCCCTCTGGAGTTCTATAGATCTCTATAGATGCAGTGGGGAGGAGTTTTCAATTTTTCAAGACAGCACATGGAGCCGCCAAGAATAGCCCCACGGCAAGATAGACAACCAATAAATTTAACACATAAATAAATAAAATACACCTGTAAGGTTTTTAGCTGGCAGCAAGAATCTGATTCTCTCAAACTCAGACGGAGGC